ACTCCTTTGCAGATCCAGAGATATGATATAATCTCTCAAACCCTTATTTTATTTTGTCAAAGAAAATAAAGAGCTTGAAAACAATGCGCAATTATGAAGTCTCCAAGAAAGTTTCATGCCCCACATCGAGAGACTTGAAAGCAATACGCAATAACCATGTCTCCAAGAGAGTTTCATGCCCCAAATTGAGAGAGAAAGTACCTTTAGCAAGTTCACCCAATGTGATTGTTTAATGCATTTAAAAGATGAAGAGTTGTCATACTTGCATGACCTTCTCTCCCAGTAGTTGTGTGAACACAATAAAAGAGGATAATCATGTATTCAAGGATGATTTCTCTTGTTCCGTTCTCTGATATGGGAAGGATACTACAAAACTACATTTTTCAAATAACATTTTCTCAAAGACCAAGATTTACAGAAAAACTATTTGGAATAACACGTAAATTTTTTTTTTATATATATATATAATAAGGCTATTTTCTTTTAGTATAAGGAGGTCACTAATTTTACTAAGAGTTAGATATGAAATTCGGTGGTTGAAGATATTGCCAATAGACATAAAGACTAACATAAAATAGCTTAAACTTTGTGACACACCTCAAGCCATCATGTTTCACATTTGGCTAGGATTGATTAAGACCACCATCTACTAAAATACAATTGTCTTAAGATACAATCTAGCACAAAAACACTTACATGTTCCTCTTTGTTTCTATGAAACCCATTTAATGCCTACGACGTCATTAAAAATGCTACAAAAAGCCACTAAAAATTCTCAAGCCTCATTGCTGGCCTGCTCAAAATCCTGCAATAAAGCCATTGCTGCTCTATAATTATAATAAAGGAGAATGCAAATAAATTAATGGAGTTCTAGAATTTTTGGAGCCTTAAATCAATTCACCATTCCTTTCGTTTCAATTATGGTTATCAAATTAAGCTAAGCCCTGCTGATAAGACACTGAGATAAGGAGCAAGCCACGAGCGAGCTTCAAATTCAGAGAGAGAAATGTTGGGGACGATCGGTGAAAAATCAGTAAGGGTTTATAACATTCATAACTATTGTGTATTCGTATAAATATCAACAAGCAATGAAAACTACACAATATCAAAGCAAGAACATGGAATGAAAAATCCAATAACATGCTTTTACAGAGCACAACAATTTAATATGGTGAACGGTCACAAATCGTGACTTACATCTATGGGAAAATGGTGCGATGATTTATTTATTTATTTGAGAAGATTACAACATAAAATCGAGCTCAAAACATCAAATTCCAGCAACCCTTTATCACTCTAAATAGAGCAAAAAAACAGAACACCAAGAACACCAAAAAATGAGTTCTCTTTGATATTTTTTTTCACTAAACATGGCACAAATCAAACCCACAATGGAGTTCAAGTCTTTTGCTCACTTTCTCTTTCTAAAATAGAGCATACTAATTCCTCAAAAGAAAACCCAATTGCAGCTCAATCTCTCCATCTTTTTCTCACTCTTTCTATCTTTAAACAAAATAGTTTTAATCCATTTAAAAGAGTAAAGTTCCTACAACACTACAACCATTGTATGAGATGCAATTCAATGGCCAAAAATAAAAGAGATAAAAGTCAAATAAAATACTCACATATGTGATTTGTCTTTACATATATAGCAATCTCCTACTTGAAGACAAATCACAAAGTCTATGAAATAATCATCAATGCATCACTCTCCATCCACTCGAGGTGATGTTTCCTCCAACCCTGAAAGTCTTCTACACATTGTATTCTTTTCAGTTGAGACAACCTTTATAATTACATCAACAAGGTTCTTCTTAGTGTGAATCTTTTCCACCTGTAAATCTCTATGCTCGAGAGCCAACATAATAAAATGGTATCTGACCTATATATACTTTGTGTTTGAGTGATAAACTGCATTTTTAGCTAGATAAATAGCACTTTGATTATCACAATATACAACATATTTATCTTGTTTCACCCCAAACTGGCCAAGTAACCTTCGCAACTAAATCATTTCCTTCGCTGCCTCAGTCAATGCCACATACTCAGCTTCAGTTGATGACAAGGTAACAATATCCTACAACATTAACAGCCATGGCTGCACCATCACCAACATTAAAAACGTATCCAATAGTAAACCTTATAGTATTGTGGCATCCTACATAATCGCATCTACATAACCAAGAACTTCAATTATGAATTTTCGAAAGACAAGCATACATTTTGTGTTCCCTCCAAATATTGAAGGATCCACTTAACTGCTTGTCAATGTTCCCAACCTGGATTAAGCATAAATCTGAAAACAACTCCCACTGTATGGGCAATATCAAGTATAATATAAACCATTGCACGCATCAAACTACCCACTGCAGAAGTTTATAGAACATTCTTCATCATACTTTTATCTATCTCGTTCATTGGACAGTCTTTATTAGACAGCTTAAAATGTGTAACTAATGACGTAGAAACAGACTTACAATCAATCATATTAAGGCACTCAAGAACTTTAGAAAAATACTTAGATTGACTTAATCAAGGCTTACCTTGCTTTTTATCTCTATGGATTTGCGTACAAAATCTTTTTGGCTTTATCCAAATCCTTGGTGGTAAAATGCTTGGAAGTTTGAAACGCTTGATTTTACTCAAATCATTGCAAACAACAAGTATATCATCAACATAAAACAATAAACTGTAAAAGAATCATATGTTGAACCTTTGAAGTACACACAATGATCAAATTCGCATCTAGAATAAAATTCACCCAGGATCAAATTCTTATACCACTGTTTAGATACTTGTTTCAAACCATACAATCCCTTTTTCAACTTGCAAACCCAGTTATCATTGATTTTGTTCTCAAAACCTTCAGGTTGATACATATAAATTTATTCATTAAGATCACCATGTAAGAATGCATTTTTAATATCAAGTTATTTTAGCTCCAAATTAAAGTTAGCAACCAAAGATAAAATAACTCTAATAGAGCTATCCTTAACAACAGAAGCAAAAATTTCATTAAAATTAACACCTGTTTTTTTCCCATAAACTTTCATCACAAGTCTAGCCTTATATCGCATAAGACCATTTGCCTCCCACTTAATATCATATACCCACATATTTTTTAATGCTTTCTTCCCATGTGGAGGTTCCACCAACTCTCATGTATCATTTTTATACGAAGCATCAATCTCCTCTATTGCCTTATGCCACTTTTCAACATTAGGGTAATAAATAGCATCCTAAAAAAACTGAAGTTCATCACTATCAGTATACAAAACATAATGCAAGGAAGAAGAATACCTTTGTGTGGGCTTGTGAGGGCATGTAGATTTTTTTAATTCTGGCTTAGGTGTAACTGATAGTCCTTCTTCATCTTGAATTACCCTTGCAGAATCAGGAATCCCGAATATCGAAATCCCACTTAAGATCGTGTACATGATTGACTAAATATGAAGTAGATGAATACAACTATAATTGTGCGAGAAATAAATCAAACATAAAAAGCACACACCACACCACACGAGTTACGTGGTTCAGTCCGTAGAACTACATTTACAACCTCGCCAAGTTGAAATCCACTATCACAATGAAAAATACAGTTTTGGATTACAAGAGATAATACCTATCTCTAAACGTCGGTAAAAGATCATAATCGATTTTCCCTTCTAAACTCGCTCTCTCGACCGAGTAACATCGTCGATCAATACCTTATTTTCTACCACAAAATTGCGGCTGGAGAGATAACCTCGAGAGCAACTGCAAGATTTTCTCTCTATAGAAGTGAAAGCCTTACCAACCCAAAGCTCATGGGAATATCGCCTCTTTCTTGGAGGCCATGTCTCCCTCTCTTGGAGACCAATCTTCATCTTTGGAGATCTGTTCCCATAACCCTAAAGGGGTGACCCTCAAAAGGATGATATTATGTCTTCGTTGATTCTCTTTTATGGAGATCACGTTGAGCTTCTTTTTTGCTTCCCAATAAACCCCTTTTTTTTTTTTTTCATAATACCCTTAATCTTTTAATGAAAACATAGGTATGGTAATTTTGACTATCACCAAACCGAACAATAAACATGCCAAAAGCCAAGGACTAGCTTCTATAAAAAATGATATCCAAAGAAACGTAAACCACAAAATAATTTGAAAAACACTTTCCAACGCCTGTAGGTAAAGTGAGTAGTATTTTCGCCCCTGCTGTTGTGGTTTAACATAAAAAATCGACCGCCATGGACCTATTATGTCTGTGGCGCCACAAACATAATAGGCCCACGGCGGTCAATTATTTCCCACCGTCCAAAAAATCAGACGATGGCTAGTAGGGCTTTCCAAATAATTTTAATATTGAAAACCCCATCATGAAACATTTACTCAAAAAAAAAGAAAAAGAAAATGTAAAAAAGAAAAATAGATTCATATTTGTATCCAAACAAGAAGTTGCAATGAAAGAAGTGTTCGTTAGAACCCATTCTATGAAGGGTAGGTTTATGAGTCCATGCCGATATAAATCACCTTTAAAAATTTATTTTTGAGATGGATTTTTGGACCTAATTTATAAAGACAAAATCTCCAATATGGAGATCATGAATATAAAAATTAAAAAAAATTTAAAAACTAAAAATAATAATTATATTAAAAAAACATTTAGACTGTCAGTTTGAATTGTTTTTAAATGAATCACCTATTTGCATCAATCTTTTAAGATGGATGCTTTATACGTTGCGATTGCACTTGTATACGGCATACGGTCCCCGCTGCATGAAACAATTTTCCATTTAAGAAGCTGCGGCTTAATTAGCGAAATCTGTTCAATGCACTAGGACTTTACTTCATAGCCGTAACATTCATCCACATCGTCAATATCAACAAGAGACGGATAGATTATGTCCCTTTGGGCTTGTTTCAACGGCGTCCACACACCTGTCCTAGAAATCGACGATCCCTACAAAGCTGATGCTGAAATCAAGCGGTCGATGAGATTCTTTACTACTGTAGGAAGGTTTGGTTGGGCGCCTATGATCTCCCGGATTACCTCTACCAGTAGATAAGGTACCGTGCTTTGAACTTTGAAGCAGCCAAAGCCGGGCTAGATAACAAGTGTCACGGCTCACGCTGGTAGCACTTGGATTTGCTTTGGGTTTTAGGGTTAGGGCTTCAGCTTCAAATCTCATCGCTTTTTAACAGAGTGTCCATGAAGGTAAGTTTCCTCATCATCATTTAGTTGATGTATTTAGTGAGATTCATAGACAAGCCTATGGCTGGTTGGTGTTTTCTGAGGCCCATTTTCAATCTATTCATAGAAAGACTCTAACCAGGCCATTGCTACGCTATGATCATTTAATATTCTCTCTCTCTGTTTTTAGTCGAGAGTTGTGAGTAAAGTTAATTGAGGGGTTATAAATGGATTCCGAGGCTGTTTTTGATGTATTGTCTCCTGGATTTCATGTATTGAAAACAACATATTATATTGTATGCGAGATAGTGGGTCTTTTTTGGAAGTTGTAATGTGACGCAAGTAAGAGTTATGGTTCTTGCTAAATCAACACCACAGTTCATACAAACTTAGCAAATTAACAAGCCTTATGGGAAAACCAGAGTAGAGAATGAATAAAATTGGCTAAGTAAGGAGGAAGCCACCTCCAATTTTTATTAACTCAAAAGGTTTTTTTATTGGGGTAGTGGAGAAATTCAGTAGCAAGAATTAACTCAAAGTTGTTAAACAAAAAGTAGCAGACTAGCCCTGAACCCTTAATAACAGCTAATTAAGCAAATTCTAAACCTTGAAATCCTAGCCATCCATTATTAAATAAAAATAAACAGACCAAGGAAAAACCCAACTCTGTCCATCAGTTTTTTTTTGGGTAAATTAGTGGGGGGTGAGGCCCCATACCCGGGTTTTCATTAATAAAAGATAAGAAAAATTAGATCTTACTATTTTACAACCCTACAATGGGGTAATTGTGCCACATCATGAAGTAAAGAAAGAGAAAGAAAATCTGGAGGCCTAGAACGCCAAATGGTGGCATCTGAAAAAATTGTAGCCTTTTTGGCAAGTGCATCAGCCACCATATTAACCTCACTATAAACATGGCAGATAGACGATGAACGATTTGCAAGTCTAAATTGGCAATTAGCAGCTATAGTATGAAGTGCCCAAGGAGATTTGCAGCAGCCCTAAATAACTTGTACAAGAAGAGAGGTATCACTTTCAATCTGTAAGGAAAAGCAATCCATTTGGATAGCTAAGTCAACATCCGCTTTGAAAGCACGAAGTTCCACATAGTTATTCGATGCAACAATATGAGGGATGGGAAATGTAGTAACAAAAACACCATCATCTCTTCTAATGACTCCTCCACAATCTGCTATTCCTAGATCTTGAAAAGAAGATCCATCAATATTGAGCTCGAAATGTTGAGAATGAGGAAATGACCACACAATTGAAATGGTGGGCTTGATCCATCTGTGCTTGCATCAGCCTCCTCTAGTTGGAGAAAATGTGTCCTCCAGCTAAAATGAGTTCTAAGTGATATATACAACTCTCTTCAGCACTATTCTTTGTTGGCTCTCCAAGTATGAATGGTTGCGAAAATACCTGAGGAAATGGATCGAGATGCATAGAAGGGTGAATTAATGCAAACACATTAAAGTCAACGAACTTTTCATTGTTTATGGGTTTACCATCGATCCTTTCCTTCTCAAAATCCAACACTCACTTGAAATTAGGTTTTTCACAACATGGAGCTCACTATGCAACATGGAGTCCACTATGAAACTTGGGAATATCAATTTTCATTCCAATCTCCCTCTCCTTTTCAAACAATCAAAATGTTCACGGCTGCCCGATGCTTGTTAGGAACAGGATGAAAGTCACTTCCATCACCATCATTACTTTGATTTTTAATGCTGGTCTTTGGAATTTTTTATGTCGAAGCTCACTGGCCTCCTGCATGCATTTATCTACTCTCTCCATTAGGCTTGAACTATTTAGTCAAGTGGTTCACTTCTTTGTGGGTTGCCGCTTTTGGAGGCATCATAACTCACTCTATTACTGTTTGATTAATATTAGGGTTTTGATTATTCTCAAATCAGCACCGCAAAAAACTAAAACCCTCGAAAATAACTGGCCTTAATGGCAAACAAGAGTAGAGAAGGAAGAAAATGAGCAAGTAATGAGGAATCCACCTCCAGATTTTGTTAATTCAAAGTTCTCAAACAAGAGGTTGTAGACTAGCTTTGAAACTTCAATGTGAACTATTTAACCAAACCATAAACCCTAAAAGATCCTAGGAAATCCTAGCGTTTATTTTCTTTTAATCCTAGCCATCCAATATTAACTTAAAATAACAGACTAGCCCTGCCTCCAACAAAAACCAGAATAATAAACAACTAAAATGGAAAAAGGGAAATATACTTTTTGAATTCATATTTCCCAATTGCATATAGTATAAAAATACCAAAAATAGGCTCTAATCCCCAAAACGCTTCTATTAATCCCCTCAATCAAGATCCAAAGGGAAATCCAAATTTGTCCATCTTGTGCCTGCATCATAATGATTCTAGGGATCTTTTTTCAAATGATGTTTTTTTTAATTAAGTTTGGTTTCACTATGATGACATTCAAAGTCATTATTTTCTAATTACCATGCAATATAAAAAACTTGGGATGTTTGCTTTAGTTTCCTATTGTCAGAGAAATACCGTGTGATGAAAATATTTAAGTTTAACTTTTTCAAATATTACCTTTCGTTTTTTTGTTTGAACTAGGCATCATAAGACTCTTTTAGGACTGAATTGGGCTTGTAAAACCCATAACGAGTAATTTTTGATGCAAACTCATTTTTTTTCTACAAACATAAACATCATCAATGGAAAAGAAAGAAGTACCATGAAATTCATATATTATAATATCCTTATTTGATTTTTTTCCACTCATTCTTTGAGATATATAGGATTTTATAATAATATGCAAGGTTACAAAAGACATTGTGTGAGCCTTGGGTGCCCGGGGGGGTGGAGGGCGCCCAACACCTTGGCGGGTGCCTAGAACCTTATGTGTTCTGAGATATAAGATATATACATATATGCATCTTTGTGTTGTCCAAACACATATATATATCCACTATATATGTGTTAAATATCCATATCCATGCATTTATATGTATTCTAACTATTTACTCTATGGAAATACATGCTCATGAATGTTGAAACATGTTCAAATCATTGAAAATTTTGATTCTTTGAATAATTGATATAGTGAAAAACTCTAGAAGACACTGCTGTGTCGGCCACCCTTTGATGGCCGTCATGAACCCATTGTATTCAGGTCTCAAGCCTCTCGTGATGATACGTCTCATTCAGTGATCCGGGATTTCGGATCGAGTTTGGAGATCTCGTGGCAGAGAGATTTTACTTTTGAAAAATATTTGGCTAATGGACATCATACCTTGATACACGGATCCGAGCTCGTTTTCCAGGAACTGCAGCCCAGCATCATTTGTCTTGGCAAACAATGTTGCTAGCGCGTCCCAGGCTTTCTTCGAGGTAGTGGCTTCTCATATGTGGTCCAACAGTTCCTTTTGATTGTTGTTTTTAGCACGAACATGGCCTTCTCGGCCTTGATGCGCCATCGTCGCAGTGCCTCGAAATTCTCTCGTGCTGGTGCAGCAGTTTCGTTGTCGCCGATGACCTCTCAGATGTCATGTCCTTGCAGGTATGATTCTACGCACGAGCACCAGTCGTCGTAGTTGTGGTGGTTTAGTTTTTTGAGCCCTCTAGTTGCATTCGCAAAATCCGCCATTGTGATTGGTGTGATCGCAGGTCGATCTCAACACCAAGAAGCTCAGACTCTGACTGAGCTGCTTCACAACATAAAAACAAGTCCATAGTTTGTTAGTGATGTAGTGTCAAATACCCCACACTCCATATCCCACACTTCATAAAATGATACTCCTGGACTATTAAGTCTCCTATAAGACGAAATGACCAATATAAAACACAAGAAAGAGGAGAATTCAATTCTTCTTGTCATTGATTCAAGTTGCAAATAAGATTGGTAAGGTTTAATATTATTAAACTAACTTTTCAAAATTTTCTCAATTAAAAAAATCACAAAATAAATCCATTTTATGTGTTTCTAAGACATAGGAAGAGTATTTTTGCCTTGGGGATTAGAATACCCCCTCCCCCTTTTTCATGGGTCAAAATGATCAACAATGCCACCCAGAAAGAGTTTTTCCCCGCCAATTTTATGGCGGTTTTTAGGCCCCCTTTTGAGATTGGATGTTGTGCCTCTAGCCCCCTGAGCAGGCGCCCAAGAACTTCCACTCAGAAAGACCCGCCTAGGCTTATGGCCTTCTAGGCAGCCCCTCTTCTTGGGTGCCTAGGTGAACTCCTAGGCACTTGGGGGGCCGTTTTTTGAAACCTTGTTAGTATGTAAAGTTAAAACTTTTTAATTGCATTTACTTTTTTTTTTTCCAAGGGAAAAGTATACAAAAAGACCATTTACCTTTGGCAAAAGGAGGTTACAACCACTCTTGCTCATTAGATTTGAAATCAGGAGGCTCGGAGTGTGCCATTATCCTTGTGAAACATCCAAAGTTGTTGGTCTGACATTCTAAGGGCTGGGAGTGATTGTGACCTCCTAATACCAAAGTAAATGGTCTTATAGCACACAATCCCTCTTTTATATTGTAACTTCTGGATTATATTTACCCAAAAACCTCTAATTTTATCCATAGATCACTCTATTAGACTTCAAACAACACCACATATATGTACCATATGTCAGACTCAATATCATTGTCTGCATCACTTGGGACCCTTATAATTGGGGCACACTTCACTGGTCCTTAAAACTTAGTCGCTACACAATCATCATCATCATTGCCCCCCAACTTTTACCAAGCTCCTTTCTCTGATCTCATCATCATCACTGTTTATCAATATTGTTATTTCATTCGTTTTTTTACGTCTATTGTTAGTTATTCTTCAAAAGTATTGGTTTTGTCTATGTTCTCATTCATTATTTCTTCCACATTCATTGACAAACAAGAAGCACAAAAAACAATATGGACTTCATGTTTTTGTCAACAACTAGCAACCCCCATCCATAGTGTGTACCTATTGATCCTTTGAGTGATGGTATTTTAAATTCTCATATTCTTTGTCATCGCACTCAAATTTTTATGGGATTGAAAATTTGTGTGTTTATGATTGAGCTGTTCTTAGCTTCATATGTCTAATATGTTAATTCATATTGAGAAATGATAATTGCATTATTTGGGGCCTTTTGCGCAATCAAAGTTAGAACTTTTTGAAACAATCCAGTCTTCCATGAATCCTGTCTCTACTTGTTTTGATGATCACATGAAAAATAGGTTCTGAAACAAATTTTCTTCATTACATTTTTGCCCGAACCTGAAGATTGCAATCGAAGGTTGTATGCATGGTGAACTTGATAATGTCTACTCAACTCTATTGTATATCGAGAAAGTGGAGAACACAAAGATTGACTTGCTTATATGCTGTGGAGACTTTCAGGTATGGTTTCAAACTAACAATCCAAGATAGCTTCTTGCACTACTTTTTACAAGTGTTACGTGTGCGAATCTTTCTCTAAATTTCTTCATACTTGTTATATGTCATTTCCTTCATATGAATTGTTATCTATGAAAAAGAAGTGTCTGCATATGTTGGATTTTAATTTGTGATTGTTGGACGTAAATGATCTTTTTATGCTCATAAATTTCCTTGAATGTGTGCAAAGGTAGGCATGATATAATAATCAAATGTTCCATCTTTTCCCTTTTTAATTCATGTGGTATATGCTACCTTATTTCCATTTATTCTAGGATCATCATTTCTTTACTACCGATCAGAAAACTGTTCCATGTTATGGTTTTGTGCTGTAGATATCCTTGACTGCAGGGAGATACCTCTAGATATATAGGTTTGTCATATTTGTTTATTTTGTACTCAATATGTAATATTTGATGTTGCCGTGATGTATTGTTAACAATGCACACGCACACGCACACAAGGACGTCTAAGATCTGTTGCAGATTCAGCTACTCTGCTTCTCTACTAGTCCATATTCTCTATCCTCTTCTTCTTTCTCTCATGGTATCACAACTGGTTGGTTCGGCATTGGCCTAAGGGGCTTTCATCAAAAGGCGACACTAAACCCTACTTCTATTTCTTTCTTTTCTTGAATTATAAATTTTTCTCCTCAAATTGTAGGACGAAAATGATCCTTTCATGCTTATACATTTCCTTGAATGTGTGTAAAAGGTAGGCATGATAAAAAACTCAAATGTTCCATCTTTTCCCTTTTTAATTCATGCGGCATATGCTACCATCATTTCTTTACTACCTATCAGAAAAATGTTCCATGTTATGGTTTTGTGCTGTAGATATCAAGGATATAACTGCAGGGAGATACCTCTAGATATTTAGGTCTGTCATATTTGTTTATTTTGTACTCATATGTAATATTTGATATTACCATGATGTATTGTTAACAATACACACACACACACAGACACATCAGGACGTGTAAGATTTGTTGCAGATTCAGCTACTCTCCTTCTCTACTGGTCCATATTCTCTATCCTCTTCTTCTTTATTTCATGGTATCAAACTTGTTGGTTTGACATTGGCCTAAGAGGCTTTCATCAAAAGTCGAGACTAAACCCTACTTCTATTTCTTTCTTTTCTTGAATTATAACTTTTTCTCCTCAAATCTAAACTCTAATTGTACGCCTTTTTCTTCTTGATAAACCCTAAGTCTACTTTCTATTCTTGATTTTAATTCTTTTCTCTTTTACAAATCCTGATGTTCTAAACCCTAATTATATTTCTTTATCTTCCTGATTCTAATATTTTCTCTTCTCAAATTTTAACCCTAGTTCTCATATATTTTGTTTACAAACTTGTCTTCCAAGATTCACTCTCTCTTAGTTGGTAATGTTGTGAAATGATATCTCAGTTGTGTTTGATAGTTCTGTATTGCATTTTCTTCCGATGTACGGTTAAATTTATTTCTAAGGCCTTTGTTTTAATTTCTACATGTCACTAAATTTTCCTCAAATTTTTTTTTTTTTATCTTATTATCCTATAACTTGCCACGGGTACATTAGAGGGATAGTTTGTAGTGAGTGCGTTACGGACAGAGCATTATCTACTATTTTGTAAGCAATGCATTCAGCGGTACTGCTTGGAAAAAGTCTTGCTATATAAACTACTGATGACTTTATCTTTTCGATTGAATGTTTTAGCCTTACTAAATTTCTTTATTTGACAGGCCATTAGGAATAAGGATGATCTAAAAAGCGTAAATGTCAAACCCAAGTATTGGGACAACTGTATGAACAGCTTCTGGAAATATTACTCTGGAAAAGAAACAGCTCCTATTCCAACTATTTTTGTTGGTGGAAATCACGAGGCATCAAATTATCTGTGGGAACTGTAAGTGATGTTCATCTATTGTCATTTGCATTAGTTTTCTGTGAGTGGTGGAGAAGTAAACAAAACATTAGTGCATACTTCTCAAACTTTATTATGTTTTCTTTTTTGGGGTAACTTTATAATCCTATTACTTGAAAATTTTTGAGTAATATTTGATGCTTAAATGATTGGCTAGTGCATTGCTTCGTGAATTAGGTCTAAATTATGTCCTTCAAGATATTATGAGAGAAGCCTGTTGACTGCTGGTTTTTAAATTTAAGTTTTACTTCTTTTCCAACACCTGAATCCACTGATATAGGAAATGCTGATCAGTGACCAGATTAAGTACAATTGTGGTTTTCTGGCCATGGTAATTGATTGTTGGATTTCTGGGGGGGTTTGCTGACAAAATGATTTACTATTTTAGGAGTAGGGTAGTCCAACAAAAATGAGCATGACATTTATGTACATCTTGGAAGCAATATGCTAATAAAAAATGAAATTCATGATGGTTATGCTGCTTTTTTATGTAGAGCTTCTTCCTGAAGTAGGATAAGCAAATGTGGCATGGAATGTATATCAGGAAGCGAGAGTTGAGATTTACTATTCTATTTTTTGATTGAAGGATTTCTCTTCCCAAATGTCTTAAGCTAAGGTAAAAGAGCAACCTAACAACTATTGTAGCCGTTTCTTGAAGAACATTGTGCCATATTCGATGTACACTTTAGATGTGTTGCTGAAGCTGAAGCATGTAACCATGGTCTTTGTGAAGGTACTCCGTGAAAAACGTATGAATTGGAGTAGAAAATAAATGAAGTTCAGAATACTGGACTTGGCCTTGGACTCGGACTCGACATGGTCCCAAACCAAGTTGGCTGGATGTTACTCGCTAATTCTTGTCTTGGAAGGGAAGGTAGAAGTCCCAGAGGACCCAGCTGAGTCTCATAATAAATCATATTTATGTGATTTGGCTGAGTCTTTAAGGACCGGCTGTGGTTTGGTCATTTGTCAATGATGCATGCTTCATTAAATTCAGAAAGCTAGAGTCTATCTATTGGTAGTATTGTGAGAAGAATGTTATTGCATAGATATTTGTCCCGAGTCTCTGGTAACCTTCTCTCATTTATCTATAGAACTTTTTGTCCTTGTACCAAAGTTGTGCTTGCTGATCTCTTGATGCAAGACGTCTAGAAGTCTTCAATATTAATGTTAGAGGAGCCTAATAAGTGCTTGACATGGTCTAGCAACTTGTGCAAATGATGAGGGAAAGGTAAAAAGGAACTAAGGAGCTCAGAAACATCACATGCTATGCAGATTACAGCAGATTTGTTATCCGGTTGGGGATGTCCTAGAGAGCTTCATCCTTGGGGTTGAGGATTCTAAAGGCAAATATAAAGTTAATGTCGTGAAATAGAGGGATTTTGGGAATGGGGTAGAGGTGTAGAGGCATCGAAGATTTCTTCAGTAAGAATTGGGCAGTAGTAGTCATGAACCGGAGAAGGTAGACTACTTTGTGATTAGGTCTCTATTGGTAAATTGAACTGTGACTGGGACGCTCTCCAATCTCAAGGAACCTCATGAGGTATCATTATCATTGGTTGACCAGAATTACTTGGACATTTGTGAGGTGGCATGTGTTTCAGTTACAGTTAATCTTCATCAATTTGTAATGCCTTCTTGTGGACTATGTTGACAATATATGGACTCAACGACTGGTGCAAAATGAAAATTTTCTGGACAAAAAACTTTGGGAGAAGCCTCCCATTGTGCATTGGGGATGATTTAGTTGTCTTAAGATATTCGTGCAGAAATGGAGGAGACACTCAGGTCACAACTAGCATGGCTAATTCTAGGAGAGTGTTTGTTGCCATTCTGACGGATCTTCTTTTGAATGGGCAAACTTGACATGGTCAAAAAAATAGGAGGATCCCATGGGGAAACCTGATAGGTTTCTTATCTTGGTAATGGAGTCAAATATTCTCAGGTCCATAGACAATCATGGTGTAAAATAGTATTCCATCAAAAAAGAAAAAGAGGAGGAGAGGAGGTTTCAAATAGTATTGTATCATTCCTTGATTCATGAATATTATACATGGACATAAAGGACTTGTTTCTTTTTGCTTTGAGAATGACTTGTCTCAAATAATGTTCCGAGTTATGGCTAAGTTTGAGCGGTGAAGGATTAATGTGTCTAGTGGCTGATTCAATTTAAATGGTTTGAGAACTTAATAAGGGAGAAGGGTTTAGATCCATGTCAGGTATGGTCTCACATAGTAGTTTATCTTCTTGCCTCAATTGCGTTGTAATGTGGAACTGAGACGTGCGAGCAATTGAGGCATTTTTCAGGTGCATTAAGAACTCATTAAAGGGTTGTAGGCTTGGTTGCCAGAAGTTTAAGGAAGAATTGGCCATCTCAAAGAATCAATTTCTTTCCTTTGCTGAAGTGTGACCTTAGTTTGACTTTCTAATTTATATTTTATTTTGAAAACACCAATTCCAATCAAATTTATGAGGTATTCTTACAATTATGTGTTGGAGATTAAAAGAATAAGCTTTATTGTATTTGATGGACAGAACTGTCATTTATTTTTTCTTTAGTCCTTATTTGTCTTATGTCTCTGAATAAGGGCAATATTGTCCATATGCTGTAATAGGATTATTACTTAATGTTATAAGAGGGGTAGAGGTCACAAGGATCCCTAAGCCACTCACTTTTCCTTTGTATCTCTCGATATCTCGTATGTCTCGCTCTCCCTTCTTCTCCTTCATCATCATCATCATCATCTTTATTTTCTTTCCTCTCTTTCTCTCTCTAGATCCTACAAACTATTTATTCTCTAATTTCAACTTGGTATTAGAGCTCGACGAGCAGTAAGGATGGTACTTTGGCACGGTACTATAGCAAGGGGTGATCTTTAAAAAGTTGCTCATGAATTGTGTCTAGGGTTGCTGTCATCCTTTGGGTTAGATGCTGTCATCATGCCCTAAAACCCTAACTTTTTTTTCAGTAGTATCTGTGGCAATGGAGGTGAGGTTTTTTTTTTTTAAATGATTCTAAGTGTCGATCAAGTATTTATTCGAAAACCTAGTTGTTGGATGGATTAAGGTTTGTATGCCTCAATTAAAGAAGTACTGTTAGTGCTATTTTTTATTTTTTCTGGAAAAACGGGAGTGTGATCAGATCTAAGGGTGTAACGAGATCTTAAAACTTTTTATTCGAAGAGATCAAAGGGTGTAACTTGATCTTAATTATTGATTAAGATATGAAGGTATAACCAGGATTTTAACTACAGTTGGATTTTAACTATAGTTGAGAATGTCTCTGCAAGCATCAAATGTGCGGTCATCTAGACCCTAAATTACCGCAGTCAGGTTTAATGGAACCAACTATTTAGAATGAGCAAGGTTGGTTGGACTATTTTTGGGTAGAAAGAAAAAACTAGGATATATCGACCGAAAAACTGGGATACATCGACAGAAAATCTTGGCATAAAGGATGCTAAATATGCAGACGGGGAGGTTGAAGATATGGTTATGATGAATTGGATACTGTTTTCTATGCAGCCTAATATGAGTCGATCCTTTATGAATTGCAATACCTTTAAGGAATTATGGGAGGCAGTCTTCGAGTCCTATCAAAAGAAAAAACTGCAAGGGTTTATTAATTAGAGTAGCAAATCAATGATTTTAAACATGGTGATTGTCACTGGGAGATTATTATGCTCATCTACGTGGTCTTCGGGATGGATTAAGCCAGCATTAGCCCATACAATGTTCTTGTACAAAGGAACAGAGAGAGAGAGAGAGAGAGAGAGAGAGAGAGAGAGAGAGAGAGAGAGAGAGAGAGAGAGAGAGTAGAGAGTAGTAGTAGTAGTAGTAGTAGTAGTAGTAGTAGTAGTAGTAGTAGTAGTAGTAGTAGTAGTAGTAGTAGTAGTACGTAGTACGTAGTACGTACGTACGTTACGTTACGTTCGTTACGTTACGTTACGTTACGTTACGTTACGTACGTACGTACGTA